GCCCGCAACCAAGGTACATGCCCTTGACTGGAACCAAACCCGGGACCCTTCAGTCCGTAGTCCGACGCTCTATTTACTGAGCCAAACCGGTCAAGGCTAAAACCTATTTTTAAAGCATATGTTTATTAGACTAGCAGCTTCAGAAGGAAAGAGATTAGAATTTGTTTGTTTTTTTCCAATGTAGTCTTAGTGCATTGTCTGGGACATAGTGAGTACTCAGTAAGTATTTTTCAAATTGTCGTATGAATAAGTGGCTGAATAAATAATATTGTCAAGAGGGAGCAAGGGGTAAAGAAAAGTGCATATTTCTGTGGTTGGGCAAGATCTAATGTGCAGTGGGCCATGATTCTGTTAGAGGATGACTTCAGCAAGAACTCAGTAGATGGGCCTTAAATAGGGAGGCAACTTCTGACCCCTCTGAGATGCAGTCTCAGGGCTTCCATTCTGAGGAGCTGAGACATATAGATACATGTTTACGTTTATAGACACACAAGGTGGCCCTGCTTCATGGGAGCAGCATGAGAGATAGGACATCCCAGGGCCTGAGAGCCTGGGTAGGAGCCATGCCTATAAACTAGTTTCTCTAGTTTAATGTTTCCACCTATTTCTGTTTTATTATTTCCTTCCTTTGTCTTGGTTAAGCATTTCAACTTTGTCTTAGCTATACAAGGGGACATTTAAGGAAGAGTTTTACATTGAAGACTGAGTTATACTCAGTCATGGACCAGAGAGCCCAAGGAGAAACAAGCAACTTGGTGGCAACCGTCATTGGTGAAGCATCTCAAGGGGAAGCTGGCTGTCAGGGATTCAGAGTCAGGTTGTGTTCATGCTGCTCTGTCCCATTTGGAGTCTCTCTTTCTATTGATAGTCTTGGAGGGTTTTATTTTTATTTTTTAAAAAGTGGGGGTGCCGAGACCGGTTTGGCTCAGTGGATAGAGCATCGGCTTGCGGACTGAAGGGTCCCAGGTTTGATTCTGGTCAAGGGCATGTACCTGGGTTGCCGGGCACATCCCCAGTGGGGGATGTGCAGGAGGCAGCTGATCGATGTTTCTCTCTCATCAATGTTTCTAGCTCTCTATCTTTCTCCCTTCCTCTCTGTAAAAAATCAATAAAATATATTTAAAAAAAAAAAGTGGGGAGTTCCTTTCATCGGGGTGGCCTGAGATCATAGTTGATCTCAATTCCCTTGAATAAGTTTGTGTTAATGACTTCTGCCTGTTGGGTGGATGAAGACCAGCCTGAAACTGCCATTTATAAGGAATTGAGAGCCTATTACCTTCTTTAAACCAATACAGATCAGCCACCTGGCTGGAGATGGTGTTACCAACCATTGTCTTCTACTGAATTTTCCTATGAGCTTCTGTGAGGACAGTAAGTGTTGACATGAAAAGGTCTTTTACTTTTGGGCTTCAAAAGGAAGGAAACATTGGCAAATTGTCCTAGCAGCCTGTCATCCTGTATGGCCAAGATATAGGTGAACAGATACTAGAACTCAGCCATGGTAGGGCCTGCTGGCAGGCCACCTGTAAGAGAAAGCTCCTGTAATGGCACCATTCAACATGAAAAACACATCACGCGCCCTTAGGACTAGATTACGACACAGGAATTTGATAACTTAGTCTCTGAGTAGTTCTACCCAGATTGACCCTGGCTCTAATCTTGGGAAGCGATATTTGTTTTGTTTGACTTTTTTTTTTTTCTTTTCCCTTTTTGGTCAGACTGAGCACTGGAAAGCCAAGGATTAATAACTACTAACTTTTGTTCTTCTGTCATTTGGGTGGAGCGGTTTAAGGAGGTAAGTACTGATAGTTATTTAGGTTGACATACTTTTGTTATTTTTGCTTTGCCTGCCGTGGGATTGTGTGTTGGAGTGGGGTGAGGGTGGGGAGTGCAGGAACATGAGCTGTTTTTGGATTGGATTGTTAGTAAAAATGTTCCTGCTTCTTAGAGAGAAGTCATACTGGGTAAAACCACTTTGTCCTTTTGACCCTGAAGCCTTAAGGTATTTAAATAGTCTCTACAGGTGATCAGTGTTCCCATATACCTAGGAGACAGAGTCAAAGAGCTATACAGTAGACACAGTCCCATGTAGTAGATGCTGTTCACAGTGAAAGAATATAACAACTTGGTCTTTAAAGAACAGAGTGCTTTCTGTTCTGTTGGGAGCAGGATGGTTGAGCTATGCTGCTTTATGACTTGCTAAACACATGCAGTTCAATAACAGGAAAGTTCCATATTTGGGCTACGATGTGAAGAGGTGTAGATATTTGGGATACTATGTGAAGAGGTGTAGATCTTGCCCAACTGGCATGACTCAGTGGTTGAGTGTTGATCTATGAACCAGGAGGTCACGGTTCGATTCCTGGTCAGGGCACATGCCTGGATTGCAGGCTCGATCCCCAGTGTGGGGCGTGCAGGAGGCAGCTGATCAATGATTCTCTCTCATCATTGATGTTTCTATCTCTCCCTCTCCCTTTCTGTCTGAAATCAATAAAAATATATTTTTAAAGAGATGTGTAGACCTTAAAACTATCAAGACAGACACAGTTGGTTACCTAGCCAATATCCATGCATTCCCCTTCTTGCTTGCTAACCGAACTGTAGTTTTGTTGGGCAGTCATGAGTCCGTACCTGTTTCCACTTTCTCAACTGTATGATGGCAAGGGCTGGTCACAAGACCCAGATGTGGCCCATGAGCTATAAGCAGATTTCTGCTGAGAACTCTTCTGGGAAAGCTTTTGCTTTCCAGACAGAAGGGGGCAGACATGGCTGGCACCACCAGTCCCCTTCTTTCTGCCTTGAACATAGACCAAAGTCTAGAGATGCATAAAGCAACAAGTCAAATGCTAAAATCATGGGGAAAAACACTTTTATATATTTAATCCATTCTCATTCAGACTTCCTACAAGAATTACACAAATGAAGTCCTAATATGCCATAATGATACCAGAGATGTTCGAGTGCATTGGATCAATGTACCTATCATTTTGACAAGATGGGGACTGCAAGTTACTTTCCTGGATCATTTGATGACAGACCCTGAGAATTCTAAGGTGGGACAGCTGATAATTCAGACCAGTTTATGTGATCTCATACAGCTTGCCTTCCTAATTGGTTGTCCTAGGTTGGCTCTGCTTAATTGAAGGAACCATTCATTGTAGGGTTCTAAGTGACCATTTACAGTTCCGGTAGCCATGCTCAAAGCCTTTGTCCCCTGGTCTCTCTCAGCATTCCTATCACCTCAGCCTCTCCCACTTGTCCCATGGTGTGAGGGCTTGCTATAATTAGACTTACTGATGATGAAGGAAAATTCCTTTAAGACAGAGATGAGTAGTCAGAGATAGATGAGGACTAGGTAGGTTTGGGCATTTTATCTCTGGCCAGATGGCTGATCTTGTTGGTTTCTAAAAAGTGATAGGTGGTAGACCTCTGATTCCTTGAAAATGACAGTGACGGGCTGGTCTTTGTCTACCCAACATGCTATTGGGTTAGTTCCGTAGGCAGAAGTCATTAACACATAAACTTATTCAAGGCAACTGGGATTAAACATACTAGACTACCCAATGCAGATACTTCCCACCTCTCTTAAGAGAAATAAAACCCTCCAAGGTTGTATTCAAGGCAGAGCTGATTTTCATCCAAACTCTCTCATTTATACAGCTGTTAGCACTGTTTCAGTGTATGGTTCTTTTCCTCCATCACTCCTCAGCACATTGGTCCACATGCACTTAGCCATCTAGTTGTGCTGAAACTCTGAAGGGTTAATTAGAAATCCTCAGGACAAAGATCTCCTGCCAGTTCTTTGGCTAAAGTAGGCTTGTCTCCTTTAAAATGGGCATTACTTCTAACCCCTACTTGGGAATGGCTTGTACCTTTAAGCAGAAACCTCTGAGACACCGGGAGGCCACTTAATATTAAACACTGTCATTATTGTAAACCAGTACCTAGATACAAGGACTTCTGAATTTACCTTAAATTAGAGATTTCATAAGTCTGGAAAGCCCAAAACCATTTTCCTGGGAGCACTTTCTGTGCTGAATATTTACTGTTAGCATTATTTTGTGCTATCTGCTTCACACGATATGCCGTATTGATCAAGACTCGGTTGTAAGGAACAGAAACCCGGCTTGCATTAGCGTAGGCACAATTCACTCCAGGGGCAGAGGTGGAGCTGCAGGAACAACCAGATCCAGCAATACCAACTCTTACCAGGACTCTCCTTTCCTTTTTAGCTCATCTCTGCTTCCTTCTGCATAAGGTTGCCATGCCCATAATACAGGAACTATGACTGCAGGCAGCTCTGAACTTAAATCATCATAAACCAAAGAGGAAAGGTCATTCTTCAATCCCAACTTCATTAATTATAATTTCACAATTCGCAGGTGAGATCACTGATGACCCCGACCTGGGTTGCATGTCCATCTCTGCAGCAATCCCTGTGGCTATGAGGACGAGGTATTATAACTGTCCCAGCCTGTGGCACAACCGTGCGGCCAGCTGGATTATATGATTGGCAGTGCCCTCCAGAACCACTTGGTTAGAGTGGAGAGCAATTCCACAGTAGAAAGGGGGTTGTTTCAGACCAGGATGACTGAGTAACGTGTCTACCTCAGTACTTCATGTCACGCCATGCTCACAGTCCAATGCAGCAAACCCTATTATCCACGTTTTACAGGCAGGGAACGTATGGGGAAACAGAGAGGTGAAGGAATTGGAACAAGGTCATACAGCTGGTAGGCAGCAATGCTGGGATTCCATTTGAGTCTGTTTAACTCCACAGCTACTCCATTATCTGGCTACTTCTCCTGCCTAGAAGAATTTCTCTCACTCTGTGTATAAAAGAGTCAAGAAACCATTAAGCAACCATCTTCTACCCCTCTTCTCCCCTCCAGGAAATGCCATCTTGGTATAGAGGACTGTTTTGGCTTCTGTTTTCTTCTGGAGTTACTACCTTAAACAAAAACAAGGATTTCTTGGGCCTCTTGGGGTTGGCACAGCTGGACCCAGAGGCTTAGACCGGTGCTGCCAGATCTCTGCTTCCCTTCCCATCTTTCAGAAGCACTTCCCCTAGTCTCTCTCTGCATTATGTGGACCCTCAGATTGGTGGGAAGCTTGCAGATAGGACAAAAACAACTAAAGCAAAAGAGACTATCTACCTCTATGTGTCCATATAGCAAACCTTGTGAAGAAGGGATCTGCACTGCCCTTCCTGGGCATGTGCCCACGTAACTGATAAGCATGGCACAGCTGGACCCAGAGGCTTAGACCGGTGCTGCCCGATCTCTGCTTCCCTTCCCATCTTTCAGAAGCGCTTCCCCTAGTCTCTCTCTGCGTTATGCGGACCCTCAGATTGGTGGGAAGCTTGCAGACAGGACAAAAACAACTAAAGCAAAAGAGACTATCTACCTCTATGTGTCCATCTAGCAAACCTTGTGAAGCAGGGATCTGCACTGCCCTTCCTGGGCACGTGCCCACATAACTGATAAGCGCTCCAGGACAACAGGCTGGCCAACTCTAAGATGAGATGCCGGCAGCCATAAAAATGTCCATATCAATGTCTAGTGAGTGGGATCATGATTGTAAAGAGTTGTGGTCGGTCCCTTTCTTGTTCATATCTCTGGGCACGTTGTGTGCACTTTCCTAGCAGTTACCACACCATCCAATAATTGTTTGCACCCCATCCTTCTCACTGGGCTACGAACACCTGGAGTACCAGGACCTGGTCTTTGAGTTTGACATCTCAGCATCTAGCATAGTGCCTGACACAGAAGGAACTCAATGTATATTTATCAAACGAATGAATAGAATAGAATGCTATGGCTTAGAAAACAAGCATTGCCCAGAGGTCTGAAAACAATAGAAGTCACCACTTAGATGCCACTGTATAATTTACAAAGTAAATGATAGCTACTTTGCTGACCTTTTTTTTTTATATATATATAAATGCATCTCATTTAAACCTAAACACAATGACAATGTATGCACCACTTCTTATAAGCCTTGCACTTAGCTGAGTGTAGAGAAGGTCACAGAAGGGGAGGACATGATATAGAAGAGCTTGGTCTTCTGGATAACGAAGACAACTAGGAAGCCTAGCAAAGACAGGATGTGATCAGTTCTTCTGCTCAAAAGGATGCTCAGGTGTTCCCTGGAGAAGGACCAGTGTCTGTTCAGCTTCCAAGGAGGTACTTGGGGATATATTTAGAGCCGGGTTAGAGGAGTGACAAGGAGATGAGCTAAAAGCATGACATGTGTGGAAAGGTTAAAGGAACTGGGATGACTCAGGTTGGAGAAGAGGAAAGGAAGGGCTCCCTTGCTGGGGGCTGGCGACCAGCTGTCCTGTGCCTCTGCCTGCGAGGGGAAATGGGCTTAGACCGAAGGCAGAACTAAGATTAGAGAGAAGGAAGAACTTGGCAGCGAGGGGTGTTGTATAACCTACTTTTCGAGTCGCTTGGGGACTGAGGCGACTCCCACACTCCTGGTCTGGGCCCAGTGCATGTATGCTTGGGGACGGTCTGGCCGGCCAGCTGAGCCTGGAGGAGGGCGTCCCGGGGGCCCTGTGCATGGAACCCGATCTTTCTCGGTGTCCTCAATTTCCCCCGTGGAAGTTCAGTTCCCAAATTTTGGAGCTGGCAAGACAGCACCTCCCCCACCCACCACGCACTGCTCCAGAGTTCTGGGCTGGGTAATAATGCCTGTCATTTCCTCTCCGGGGGAGTGGGGCTGCAACCGCCCTGACAGCCCCAAGGGATTGAAGGCAACTAAAAATAGTGCCTTATACATAATCTGTTGAGGGGCACATTTGCATTGCTTTCCCCCCCCTCGCCTGTCTCTTCAACCTTCACGTCAGGCCCGGCCTGGGTCTAGCTCTGGGCACCGGAAGCCAGGCCTGGGCTCTGCTGCTCTCATTTTCTCAGCTCTCGCCCGTTTGACTCAATGGTTGGAGCATCGGCCTGCAGACGGAAGGGTCCCGGGTCAAGGGAACATACCTGGGTTGCAGGCTTGATCCCAGGTGTTTGCAGGGTCAGGGTATGTTCGGGAGGCAACCAATTGATGTTTCTCTCTCTCTTTTTCTCTCCCTAAAAAAAATCAATGGAAAAAAATATCCTCGTTCGAGGATTAACAAAAAACAAGACAAGAGATCCAAGGAAGCAAATTCATCAAGTGCAATTCATCAAGGGTCCTCAGGGCTGGCCCCTGCCACTCCTCCTCACATCCCAGAGGGCTGGCTGGGTCCTTCGGAGTCCAAAGGTACCGGGAGAAGAGCCGGAAGTGGGGGAGACAGTATTAAAAGGAAAGCCTTCCCAGGCTTTGTTCTCCCATCAGCCGGTTCCTTCTACTACGCAATCTATCTGAGGTTAAATATTAATTAAGAGCAGAATGACAGTGAGAGCTGAACAGTGTCACTTTCTGTCCCAACACAAATGCTAATTTCCTTCCTGTATAAAGTGACTTTGGAGTGGGATTGGCAGCCCAGGAAGAATAGCTGGGGAGGCGGTGGGAGAAGAGCAGAGGGGAGATGGGCAGCCCTGCTTCAGAACCAGTCTGAGGAATGAGGCAAGGGAGGTATTGATGCTGGAAATCAAGCGGGAAGAAAAGGGCTTGTCAGTTACAGAGGATGCTCACAGTGCAATCCTAGTCTCTCCCACTTTAACGAGCATGATCTCAGAAGTTGGGGTAGAGCTGACTTGCCCCATATCTCTAAGGCAGGATTCTTTTATAAACAATATATTTTTTATTGACTTTAGAGAGAGGAAGGGAGAGGGAGAGAGAGACAGAAGCATTTATGAGAGAGAAACATCGATTGGCTGCCTTTTGTCCCCCCTCCCCTCAATGAGGATCGAGCCCACAACCCAGGCATGTGCCCTGACCAGGAATCGAACCGTGACCTCCCTGGTTCATGGGCTGATGCTCAACCACTGAGCCACACTGGCTTGGCTAAAGCAAGATTCTTAACTTAAGGTGCACACATTGGTTGCAGTGCTCATGAAACCCTGGAAATTGTTTACAAAACTGCACATGCAGAGAGTTGTGAATTTCCATCAGAGCTGGTATGATGCCAACAGTGTCATCCTCAGCATGAGGTACCCATCTTTGAGGTCACCTCATGGTTCAAGACAGTGGCTAGAATCTTAGCTGAACATCTATCTTCCAGGTAGAAAGCAAGAGAGGTCAACTCATTGGAGTGGTCAAACCATGATGGACTCTTAATCCCCTTCATGAGTTAGCTCCATGAAACCATTCCTGATTTCTCTTGCTCATACTCCATCCCACCCCCACCTCTGCCTCAAGAAACTTCTTGCAATTCTGAATCTCTTTTCATTACAACATTCATCACATTGTTTAAAACTTTTTAACTTGTCTTCCTCCACTGGGCTAAGAGCTCCTTAATGATAGAGACGGTTCCGTGATTACCTGCCACAGACAACTCTCGGTAGGCTCAATACAAGTTTGACGTGAATGAACAAATTTTAAAAAGTGTTAATGAGCAGCTACTGTCAGCAAAATATCCTAGAACTAAGAAGGGAATTAAAAAATAAAAATTATGTAGACACTGGCTTCAAGAGTTCATAGCCTAGAGGTAGTTTTAGAACAGGGAGAGAGAGCTTAATAGAGGAGGGGGATCTGGGAAGGTAACCGATTTGTGCGAGGCCTTGCAGGAAAAGTCAAACCCCGTCATGGGGCAGTGACTGGGAGAGAAGGGGCAAGAAGAAAGGAGAAAACATGGGCTGTCTGTGTTTTGCATGGGTGGAGAATCGCAATGGAATCTGGAAGTTTTTCTATCTGTTTTCACACGGAGAAACCGAGGCTCTGTGTTTGTTAGGTTGAGCACAAGGCCTGGCCAATTGTCTAGATAGAAGGTGATTGTGTTGTTTTGTTCCTGTACTTGAAGGTGCTTGTGAAGGTGTCAGGACTGGGAGATGGAGCTGTTCAGGGAAGAGGAGGCAAGAGGTCTGAGTGGGGTGGGTGCTGCCTTTGTGTGAGTGTTTTGGAGTCTTTGGGGGAGGAGGACCCAGGCTAGGGGCTCCCCTCACCCTTCCCTTTCCCGTCTTTCTTAAAATACCCTGTGTTCCTGCAGCAGTGGCTGCTGCTCTAAATAAAAGCAGCGGAAATGCAAATGGTCAGGTTCTCCTAGCAACAGGAGCCAGCCCACGCAGGGCGTGCGGAGCATAGCAAAACTGTCCTGGGGCTGAGATGCTGGTGCCTTGGGCGAGGAAGTCTCCTGTCACAGCTTCGTCCCTCTAACTTCCGAGAGGGACTGTCTGGTGGGCAGCCACCTGCTGTGCCGAAGAAAGCCTCCCTGAACTGGA